TTGGAAGACGCACGGTCAGGCATTCGTTCTGCATGATTCAGTGAACCAAACAGCCTGGAATTAGGAATAGAACACACAAGGTTGTATTTCATGTGCTTGATCTCATTCCCGCTTGTGGTTGAATCTGGACCTGTTTAGAAGGCACACACACCAGCGTGGCACAGAAAGGGCAGATGAGAAAGCACAAAGGCTCCTGGGATGAGCAGACAGTGTTCCTTGGCTGCAGCTGTGGTTACGCCTTTTACAGCTGCTATTGAGGAAAGCACGAGTACAGCAAGGGAAATTTTTTTATCAATGTGAATGTATACTAAATACTCTTAAACTCATTTGCAAATGGCATACAAACAAAATTATCACAGCCTTCATGTCTCTTACAGCTAACAAGGCACATCCATTGTTTAAGCAAGCAGAATGGTGTTATGTAGGAGAAAGATAATATTTCAGTATAGAGCCTATGCTGAAGAAAGTTAAATTCAGCAGTCATACAGGAAAGGGGCTTGCATTCTGCACACAAGGTCATAGGTTATTTATATTTAATATGTGACATCTTGGCTAATTACCAGTGCTGGTGAAATATGAAACTTTTGCCACTGGGGAATTAAAAGGAAAACAAAAACAAAAGTAGATTGCATAGCATTGGAAAGTTTTGTAGCAAAATTAGGAATTGTCCTAGTTCAGGCATTAGACTACATGGTAGCAGAAAACAGAGTTGAACACAGCAATTAGACTGAACTTGGATAAATTTGAAATTTTCAGTGAAAATCTAGTCATCCTTTTAAGAATTCCTATGCCATAACTTAATTACACCAATCCTATCTAGATCTTGTGCTCAGTGTTTGATCAATGGAGCATTTGTAATAGCAAGATTACAAAGCTAAAAAAATAAATTGCCTACGAGGTGTGTCTTGACAAAAACAAACCCACATTAAAAACTTAATGAGGTCACAGTCTCATTTAACCATTTTACAGTTTTCCTCAAGAAGTTTCTCCGCTCTCCTAAACTTACTGCAGTTATATTAAACACAGTTCAATATATTTCTCTTCAATATCTTTTTAAACAATCATTGCTTTGCTTTATCGTTTGTTTAACATTCTGCCATGTAATCCAAACATTACTTCATAAAGTTTGCTGCTGCTTTATATTTCTATAGTTTTATGGAGCAGGTTGGAATCCTCCCATTTGGTGGTTACCATCCTAAATGTTAAAAGAGGGTCTAGAAATCTGACACTGAACTGCACAGCTTTCCTCACAGACTTTATATTCATAGTACTTTGCTCTCAGATCATCAAGTGAAAGCAAAGTAAAAGCATCAGCTGCATTATTACTTATATCAATATACAAGGACACTCCAGGCACAAGTGCTTCTGAAACGATTGCTTTTACAGATATCTTAGAGTCTTATTACAAAGCCTAAAGTGGTTTGTGAGTGAAATCAGATGACAACCGAGATTGCTATGAGAACAAGAACAAACTCCTTTAATACACAGTGATGTTTGCATAAGATAAATATTTGTGGAAACTCAAATGAGATTTCATGAAAGCTCTTAGGCTTGATAAAAAGACTAAGGTGGCATTTTACTTACTTTTCCATATTATAACTTTCATTTTTGACTGTTCATTAGCCAGCAGACAGTAGTGTTGTACAGGACTGGGATATAGAAAATTCAGGCTCTGTTCCAAGCTTCCCTCCTCTTGCAGTCTAATTTTCAGACTTCTTCAAAGGGGCATAAGTAACTTGCTATTTATACAGACACTTAAATCACTGCCTTACTGTCCCTCTGAGGTGAACATAATACAACTTCTCTTGTTCCTCTTTTCACTTAGATTGCCAAGGCCTCTGAGTAAGGACTCTCAGGTCTGGAATACTTCTTACACATTGCATTTGAGAAGTCTAACAGCCTGGCTAGATGATTTGGGCTAATATCTCTCTTTGTACTGGACAAGGAGAAGCATCACACAACTGTTGTAGCAAAATGGAATCCCAGCCTCTGAGGCCTTAACTTTTCTATTCTAGAAATGATCCTTTTATGACATGGTTCTGTTTTGTTCAGGTGTAATGCATGTGCAGTTTAAGGTGCAACAGTTTTTCTGCTTTCCCCATTACATTCAATGTCCTTTGATTAGCTTAGATATAACCACAATCTTATGTGCTGAAGTCATCCCTCCTTATATATTCTAGTTCAGTAAATTACACATAGCCTTAGTTTATTCATAAATTAAGGTTTCTTCATTAGTATATTAATTATCTTCAGGGGTAGAAAAAGATACTTTCTCTTATTACAGCTTTTCACGATAATTCAGAATAAGCAACCAGAATAAATGTATCTTTTCTTGATATGCATATGCCCAGTTTTCCATAGGAAGCCTCATGGGCTCGCTCTTCAATGAGCAGGCCTGTCAGCCTTGTGCAAACCACTCTTTTGTGCTTGACCCACATCAGATTCAGCCAACGTGAAACAATAGTTTCTAATGGTGTGAAAAACTTAAAAGGCTCCCTGGTAGTTTGGATCTTGGACCCCTACGTTCCTCTGTGGAACTGAATCCATTTGCAGTTGTTAGACCACATGTGCTCACACCACTTGCTTAATCTGTGCCTAATGAGCTTTCTCACCCAACATCTTCATTTGGACACAACAGGTTTCAGCTGAGAGGCAAAATGTGGAACACGACAGCCATACCCCAGCTGTTGCAGGTGCTTACGTGTCTTTTTTGCTGTAATCCATCCCAGTATAAAGCCAAACAGGCCAGCCAGGTGGTTTACGTTTATTTTCGCCTTTGCACTGAAACAGAGGTAGCAATTTTCATTAGCAGCTCTTGTCTCTTAGTTTTTTAGTTGATTGAGTTTCCACCTGGCTTGCTGTCAAGATTGCATGTAAGAGGGTTGATTCTTCTTTGACAGAGCAAGGGCTGGGAGGTTTAACTATTCAATTTGGTCACAGAATCAGTTGTTCATCTGATATTATGCTGCTGGTCCTGATCCTTATCTTTCTACCCTAACCCCTTCCCAGGAATAGGCTTCACTGCATCCTCTGGCTCCTGATACATCAGACTGGATTGGGATAAATGCACTGCTGTACATTAAAAATTTATGGAAAGTAGAAAAGGCAACACACAAAAAGGAACAACTGATTAAATACTATCTCATTATTTTTCCTAGCTGGAGAATGAGCTATTCAATTAATGGAGTGGTCCCAGTCAGCTCTGGAATAATATTACCCAGTAAAGGTTCACCCATTTAAAATTAATTTATTTTTGCTGTATTTGCAAGTCCTATATATTAATTCATCAGATAGGTATATAAAGAATGGTTTAGCTGTTAATTTATATTGAACAAATCAACAGCATTTCAATGAATGCTCACATAAAATGTTTTTCTAACATGTATTCAAACTAGAAATCTTATTGCAAGGATTCGTGTCAGCTAGTCATCAGGCAAAACCAAATCATATGATCAGTTGCTTTCATTATCAAAAAGGTCACAGATGTCTGAATATGCAGGAATCATCTTTCTACAAATGCAAAATAAAATGTCTGACCTGCTGCTTACTCCTCTGGAGACGAGGCTCTGGTGCTCCCATATGTTAAGAAAGAATAAGCCACAAATATTTTCCCATTAAGAAAATCAGTAAGAGAAAAGGCTAAACTAGTTAAATTTAACACTGTGACATTATTTGATCAGTAAATAATTCAATTAGGTCCTTACCAAACTTAAATAAATTATCTTCCCATTAAAAAAATTGTCTAAAACAATTGTATAAACCATAACATTAAGAATTACTCATGTTAAAATAAAGAATACATCCATTCTAAAACATGATGCAAACTTCGGTCAAAATCTTTTTTTTCTCATGTATTTCCTTGCATAATGTCCTTCTGAGGCATTAAAATTGTTTAAATTTGACAGACTGAAGATAATCATATCTGTACAAAATGCCATGTGCCTTTATCACTTAAAATGTTGGCTAGTTAACATTTAAAGTGTTTGAGGCTGCATTGGTTACTGGGAAAAACAATTAACTATTCAGTTTTATTTTAATAAGTCTGAATTTTGTATAAAGCATTTGCTGATACCGAGGTTCACAATCTGTTGATTGATTAATTAGAAAGCAGACAACAATTGCAAAATGTACCATTACAAAATTGCTCAGTGTGCAGAATACTCCCTAATTTTGTCATTTACTTCTAATTTCTGTCATTGTTAGGCAAAAATATCATAATAGTTACATCCAGGTAGTAACAATTGGGAGACAAAGAATATAAAGTAATGGAAGCTGGTCACCTCCATGATAACAAGTAGCTTAATATGCCTAAATGAAAGGCAGTGTATCAAAGTTAAAAGCTATTTAGGGAGAAAGTAGAATGAAACACAAAAAATATATTAGAAAACATCTATATATATGTAACATCAACGAGGTAGCAGAAACACAGCAAAAAATGTTGTCCTTGAAAAAATAAGTTCCTTAAACAAAACCAAGAGGGGGACAAGGTTTGCAAAAGATCTTAGACCGACAATATGAGATAAAAGTAATTTGCATAAACCCCAGTTTAGGCATCACGTTATAAACACACCAGTACCCTACACTGTGATGCCACATACTTCTGCAAACCATCTTCAAGGTCTTTTCCACAGATACAAGACTAAAACAAACCAGAGTTTTAGCAAGGAGTGCTATGACTCAATTATCTGGATGAAAAAGAATGCAAAACCCCTGAAAACCAAAAAAAAGCCAGAGCTATTGCATGGCAGAGAGTAAAGTGTTCTTTCCCAGGAACATAATGAGGTTTTTAAGGTATATTTTTGATAAAGATAATACAATGGGGGAAAATTCACAAAGGCAGAGTCTGATGACCATTTGAGAAAGAAAAAAAATAAATCAAGAAAACAGCAAGAAAGATACTGCAACTGGGAATTCATCTAATTACAAGGAAAAAAAGCCTTAAGACTATTGTTTTGCCTATTCTGCCTCCTTTTACTCTTTCTATTTTTATAGATTAAAAGCCAAGCAAGACATTATCAAAAAGATGGATAATTTTTCAAGGTAAAATAGCTACTGCTGATATGGCATCTTTTATCCTATTACATACAAGGAAAATAGACAGACTGCAGATGTAAAGGTTTTAATATAATCATGTAGAAAAGGACACAGACAAGAAAAGGTCTCTGGAATCTCCCACTTAATTTTCCATTTGAATTAACACATACACATCTTCTCCAGTTTTGCACAATTAAAAAAGAAGAAACACTCAGTCAGCCATGAAGTGGTTTCAGAGGGGCAGGGATTCAGCAGGAAGTGGTCAGAAGCACTGTCCATACCCACAAACACTATAATGCAGGAGGTTTTTAACATGTAGTAGCATTAAGCTGTCCTGATGGCTCAGCAAAAAAATGCTGAAGAGAACAACAGCTGCCCTTCTTGGTGCTCTCCTGCAGGCAAACTCTAATCCTCTGGGTTTATACAGTTGTTCAAGAAACATTAAAAGGAAAAGCCTTCCAAAGCACCAGAGGCACCAGATGGGACACTGCTTGCTCCAAGTTTTACCTAGGTTAAGAAAAAGTGTATTTTATGCTTTAAAAATTTTTACAGTAGCATCTTCCAAAAACAGTCAAGATATTAAAGATCCATATCACAGAATACAGTTTCATATTTATTATCACATGGGGAGGGGTGTGTCTGCTACAGTATGACCATAAACTGGAAATTAATCTTTGCCAGTCAAGACAGCACATGAAAGTTATTCGTCTAGCAGCTTCAAAAGTTGTAAACCCAGTTCAACTAGCTACCAGACTCTGACTGTGCTTGGTACAAAACAATTGGTATGTACCAATGAATCAGACAAAAGATCAAACTAAAAATAGTTTCAACATTGGTATTTATATACCTTTAGAGTATTAAAAACAGTCTTACTGGATTTCTTGGACTTTTTCTCTTTGGGAATTCTCTAACAAATTATACTGATGCTGTTACAAAATTGATTGTAAGAGTTTAATTTTAAACTTTAAAATGAGTGTAGAAAACATTTGTAAACCAGGAAATGTTAGAGTAGAATTTGAAACAAATCCAAACTTATTAAGGCATAGAACTACATGTAGATTATCCAAGCAATGTTAACTCTTTCCCATAGCAGTCCTTTAGTTGGAGAGTAAATTTAATCCATCTTTTAACATGACTTTAATCTAGGATTGTAATCTCTTCTCACAGTAAACAATGTCAAACATTTGGTATTAATGTACAGCAGTTTTGGTGTCAGTAACTTTGTGAAATATCTAAAACTCTTCTGTTAATTAAATGTAACATCAATTCACTGTGTGAGGCTTCATGTTAGGAAATAGTAGCTATATGTGGTTTATATTGCTTAGAAAATCACAGATAAGAAATCCTGAAAGGAAAGGAATGGTTGCCAGTAAACTGTACAAGACCAAAGGTTAAGTAACTCTCAGAACATGAGGTTATGGATTGAAGTAGTTAAAGGGAAAATATCCCAGAAATACATTTCAGAAAATAAATTAATTAACCCATAAAATCACAGAATGACAGGTATCTAAACAAAAGGGTGGGAATAAACCTTTTTTTGGGAAATCTACTTCCATATAACATAACTGGCCCACATACTGACTCAAAATTAAAAGTTAAATTAGGATTGTGCAGGATTTCAATTCCTTTTTACTTAATATATCTGCATTTCTTGGTAGAGGCTCACTCAAGAAAAACAGCATTCTGTTTTTATATTTTTTCTGCTTCCATTTAGGATGTATTTCTATAACACCATAAGCCAACCTAACTTACAGTTGCCACAGCCTGGCCCTCTGCCCTCCCTTGGCTGCTCAGTGATTTGTGCTAATGCGAGCACTGCGCAGTAAGTCAGCTCAGGGATCTGAGCCAGTTGAAAACTATCCCTCCAAAGAAAGCCACTTCTTGTTTCAGTTCCCTGAACCAGCTCATTATATGGTAGCATGAGTGGCACAAGGGAGGGACTTCAGCTCGCTCCGTTTCATGGTTGTTTGATAGGAGGTCTTAGGGCCCCTGGGACCATCAGCAGTCCAACACTCCGTGGTTAACCACCCTCACATGAACCCCAGAGCTCGCAGGCTAAATAGTGACATGAACTGTAATTAGCTTTAGGCAGGTAGTAAATTAAATAGACGAAACTTCACTAAATCTGATACTTCCAACAAGGGCACACTAACATCTTTCAGCAGAAAGTCACAAATCACCCAGCATGACTCGCTGTGAATTGCTTGGTAGAACCAACCCAGGCAAGGTGGAGTGAGATCGCGGCACCAGTCCAACACCTCCCTGCTGAGGAAAGGAGGGATTCCACATGACCTTCAGAGAACTGACTTAACTCACTTAACTGGATGGAAACATCTCACCCACTTTTGCTGTGTTAATTTTCTGCCTGGGGCAGAACAAGGCAGGAATGGAATCACTTCCTTTGGGAAGCGGCAGGGTTTTTCAGCTCCGCTTGGCCGGTGGCGGTTCCCTCTCAGCCTGTGGATGCATGTCCTGGTGTGATGGTTGCTGGGCTCGTGGAAGGGGGACCTTTCCCAGCCACCTACACAGCTCACACAGCGAGCAGTGACACTCCCTGTTCAGTTACCGTTCAAATAAGCCACATCAGCCCACACAGCTTAAACAGCAGATCTTCCTTAACTCCATGTGAAAATCAGGATGGAACCTCTAACTTGGTCATAACTTTATCACCTTAGTTTTCTTCATCAGCAGCCCACCCGCCTATGCCCCAGGGCCAATTCTCTGAGATATTGGATGGGTGTGTACCAGAGCTCTCTCATTATGCACCTATTTTGTAATGGGGCCACAACAGACGTGAAAGAAACGGGTTTGCATATAGCCCTTTCCTGTTCCTCTGTTGTTGTGCCTCCTACACATCTTCTCCTTAAAAAAAAAAAAAAGAAAGAGCAAATTGTACCAACTGAACATACTCAGTTTCAAAATTAAGGTACTGATAAGGGTGAACCTGTTGCTTCAACAGAAATTGTCAATTGCTTGCCTTGTGCCAAAGTGCAGGGGGTGGGGGGGAAGCTTTTAAACCATGGGGTATTTGCAGGTTTGAGCAAAGAACAATCTATGGAGAATGAATGCAGGGCAGCAAAGGCACAATCACAGGTTTTTGGTCTACAAGACTTGCAGGAAAAGCCAGCCCAAGTCAGGTACAGGACAGAAATCACTGGAATCCATTCAATTTGACTGAATGCCAGAGCACACTCTAATCCAGGGAACAGAGCCAGACCTGACCCTATTTGCAGAACCTTTGTTGCTGTTTTAAACATGTATCTTTACTGTACCAGATAACAAACCAAAGATGATATTAGCCTAGCAATTAAAGAATCATTAGCAAAAGAAGCAATGCTTTGATCTGTACTAGTTAGTCAGACTGCCATTAATGCCAGTTGGGTATATTAAGTACAGATCTTTCCCTAACAACATTTTAATTGATTCAAATAAATAAATTAATTTAGACTACATGATAAATTATAAAACCTAAGTCTCAAAACCTCCTCCTTTACACATTTATACTTAAAATCATCTACGCAGCCATTAAGGTAAATTGCAGTTCTAACAACAAGTATTAAGAAATAAATTTAATATTTTATCTGCTTGTACTTCGAGGCTAATAAAAATATGGTGTTAGGCAACAGCAGTAACGCTCTGTTCCTTCCCTCTGTGCCATAGAAGCAATGCCATCTGTTCTGCTGGTTTGGCAGAACCATTTGTGAGACCACCCTGTGAACCAGACCAAGGCACCCGACCCAGCTTCATTCTTTATTTGTAGGGAGAGGGGGAGGACTGTTCAGGCCAGATAAGTTCCCTGATCTGATCCACAAATGCTGTGTCAGCACAAGTGCTCAGGGATGGTGCAGTGGCTGCAATAAGAACACAGATCAAGGATATCTAAAGTTAGTACTGCTGCCAAGTGCTGTGTGTCATGAGACAAACCCTCACACGCAGTCCCAGTCACTGGGCACGGCCACGAGGGGCAACAGCTCCAGAGAAATACTCCAGCCCTGCTGTCAGATCTGTGCTCTTCACAAACACCAGTAAAAACCCCTGGGAACAAGCTGGTGAGTGAACAGATGGTATCTCAAGGATAAATGCTGCAAATACATTGCTGTACAGTGACTTTAGAAGAAAACCTATCATGAGGCTGATCAGTAGTGCAACTTGGAGAAAGTAAGTCTGAAAAGTAAATAATTAGGCTTATTGCAAGTGATACATACAGGGCTATTGGATTATTTGCTACAGGATTTTCTCTTGTTAACCTTAGTTTTAAAGACACATTTTGCACTCAGTAAACAGAAGGATAATCACTTCAAAGGATTACTATCTGAAAGAAGTGATATGCAATAGTAAATCATCAGGAAAAACAGACTAAAATATACTTCAAGTAAAAGAGAATCTTTAAAACACTAAGACAACAATTCATCAATTTATCCTCTCCCCACAATTCATACCAGTAACTCTGAAAACAAACAATCTATCCACTAGTGATGATTGTTTTCTAAGCCATGGCCCTGACAAATATACTTTTAGTCTCAGATATAAGGAAAGCTACAAAAGGTTAAAAAATGTGGGTATAGTTCAGATAAACATCTAAGAGTTTGAAAATTCATCTGAATGCTTTCTGTCAGAAAAAAATGTGCTGTAAGTCTCATGAGAAAAAGGCTTATTTGCGATGTTACTGGCACTTTTACTTCTGTTCTCAGCTGAGAGTAGTCAACTTCTCACATGGTGTTTTGTCTTCAAGAGTTGTGGGGAAAAAGTTCAGTTCTAAATATAGAAGATTATAGTGAGACTTATCCCATGTAAACTGACTTTGCCTCTTGTTACTAAAAAAATCAATGGGATGGTAAAGTAAAATTTTGGTTAGCACTAAAGAGTTGCATGCAGTTAAAGAAGAAATAATTGTTTTCATCTTACAAGATTAAAAAATCTGCATATATTCAACTTGAAAGACAAATTCTGATTTTTAGGTATACAGCACTAATTCAAAAATGCCTCTCAATTAACTTGACTGACAACCACCGAGTTCCTATGGCAGTGCCTAGAAATAAAGCTTGACTGTACACAGCAGTAGGACTAGGGTTTGAGCAATGGATGGAGTAAATTGCCTACCATCAATAAATTACTTCCTAAACCTACATTTCGTTTCCAAAATGCCTTAGAAATTTATCAGTCTTTCATTTTAAGTCAGTGGGATGTAGTCTCCAATATTAGTTCTGAAAATAAAACTTGAACTTTTAAATTAATTAGACTTGTTTAAATATTTTTACCAGCAGTTTTACATGACAAATATACATATGTGCAGGGAAAGGCTACGATGTTCATGTAAATTTTGAGTGCTCTGCCTCACCAAGGCCAGCTGGAGAAACAGCACATCTCTTCCATAATGGCAATTCTCCCTTTGGACAGATCAGGTTGGGGTTTTGTTTCTGAAACAAATAGGTTTGGTTCATACTTCCTTGGACTAGCTCTACTGGGAAATCTTCAACATTTCTAATGTCACAGACTTCCACATCAAC